CCTAGTGGGGGGAGCAGGAGGCAGCTGATTGATGTTTCTCTGTCATTGACATTTCTAACTCTCTATCCCTCTCCCTTCCTCTCTGTAAAAAAATCAATAAAATATATATATATTTTTTAAATCGCGTTACGTCGCCGTAGGAATGGATCTCTGATGTTACCCAAGGACCTAGTGTATATGAGATTATTATTTAGATCGTGCTTAGAATTTGGATTTTTAAGAGAAATTTCAGTTTTCAACAATTATAATGCAGTATACTGAGATCTATTTTTAGCAGAAGGTACACTTGGGTAAAATCTAATGCATGAGAAGCAGAATGTCAAATAGTGAGAAATGAGAGACTATTGTCACTTTAAAATGACTCAGTTTTTGTACAAAATGATGTGCACTCGGTTTTGTCCGACGATTTCCCTGTTTCCTTTGTCGCTTCCGGGCCTCCAGTTTGTGTGGCGGTCATCGCTCTGTGACCACGGTCAGCAAGCATCACAGCTGTGACGTCAATTTAAGAGCTGCGCTCCCAGAACTCAGACGCTTGAAGTATAGTTACCGACCCCTGAATGAGATTACTGCCATGTTAGCGGGCAGAACAAATCTTACCTGCAGTTCTGTCTAACCAAACGCCCAGCCCGAGCGCCTGCCCCCCCCCCCCGACCCCAGGCCTGTTCCAGGGTGAACGAGGGGCAGCCAGGCCCCGGCCACGTGAGGAGCAGCTTCTCAGTGTCTCACAAGACCCTCGGGTCAGTTGTTTGGAGAGCTTGGCCTTATGAGAGATGCAGTGCGCTCGGGCCGCGCCGGGTGGAGCAGCTCTGGGCGCTGCCGGTGAGCGCTCGCTGCCTAAAGGCCCGTGATGAGCGAGGGAGCTCCGCACCTCCTGCCCACAGAATACCGGGCGGCGTCCCTTAAAAGCTCCCAAAAAGAGAGCCGCTCTCTAGGTGCCAACGGCTTTGTTGGTACCAAACCCAGCACCTGGCAGGCCCTCCAGCTTACGATTTAACAGAACCAAACGTCACAGCAAAATTCGCAAGAGTGAATAGTAAAATGCAAAATTATATTTAGAAAACTCAATGTGACCATTAAAAAAGCTTTCACTTCCTTTGAAAGTTCCTCACACTAGTACTCTGGTGCTCTAATGTTCTGACTTAAATGTTAAAAATAGTAACTATAAAAAAGTTCTGGGCACAGAAATCTAAGCACAAGCACTACAAATCAAACACCAACTGTAAAGTTAGCTGCAGACATCCATGGTCATTTACCTGGGGGCATTTTTAAGAACTGCCATAGGCCGCACAGAGCAAACCCAGCATGCAGGTGCTGCCCTCCGCAGACCAGCGCTGCCCCCAGGACTCCGCCCCCACCTCCTTCCGGGCCCGCACGGGAGCACCAACCCTGTGCCCAGTGTGCCCGGCGAGGGCAGGCCGCAGGCGGGCCACATCGGCCTCGGGCTGGTGACAGACAGACAAGGGGCGAGTGGGAAGCAGGCCCACAAACCCCCTTCTTAAGTGTCAGTGCCACCACCACCCCGCAGGGGAACGAAGCTGGGGAGAGACTGCATATTAAACATCAATGGCGTTTGGCAAGAAAAGAGGCTCTAATTTTCCACGAATAGTCCAACTGAGAGTAGTTTCTCCTTGAAAAGTCATTTTTGATATATCGGTAACAGTAGAGATACGTAACACAAACAAACTTTTTTTGCATATTTTTTATTGTTTGCAACACCAGAGTAGCCCACATTTCACATTACAGGGAACTTTTAATGAGAACGTGCTGTAACAATGCTGTAGGTACATGTCATACAGAAGCAAACATTGGCACTTACACAGCAAAGAGAATGACTCCATTGCCACTACCCTTCCATTCCTCTCCTGCCGGCCAGCACTGCCAGCCTCCACTCTCACTGACCAGCTGTTCTAGCTGCCAGGAGCCGTGAGGACTGGAAGGAAGTTCTTTAAGTCAGTCATAATGAATTATTATATTACTGTGCACCGAACACTTTTATATTTTCAGACTACCAGCTACAAAAAAATTCAGACTCTTAAAAGGTTCAGTTCTCCACCATGTGGCTCTTTAGGTACCCCCCCCACCCCCCACCCCCCAAAGCAGGAGGCCATGGCCCCAAACCAACACCACGCTAAGTCTGAAGATCAGAATCCTTCAAGCCAAACCGCCCATAAAGCACGCCACTGCTCCTGCTGCCCCGGTGCCTGGCCTGCGCTGCGCTATTTCAGAAACTAAGACCTGGTTGGTGAAGGCTCTCAGTGACACTGTAGAACGACTTGAGCTCATTGCTGGGAAGAGATGAGCATCAGCTGTGCTACAACCTCCCCCACCCCCCAAACATTTCCTCCGGAGCCAACTGCCGGAGGGCAACGTTGTGCATGGGCGTGGCCCTGGTACCCGGCCTAGTCCACCCGCCCTGCCCCCGGCCCCAAAGTGAGTTCCCTCCGCCTGCCCGATGCAGCCCTTCCTCAGCACAGGGAGACACTCTGAGGGGCAGAGCGGCCCGGGAGGGTGCTCGGCATGGCCCACCCACCCCGTGGTAGTGGCCTTACACCTGCCCAGTCAGCACAGCACAAGCAAGCCGTTTCCATCGTCCTTCCCCGCAGAACAACGTCAGTACCCGCCTTAACCTGGGGCCCAGCACCCACTTCTGTCCATGCCCAGAAAGGCACGGGCACACAGAAGACAGTGCAGCACCGGAGTCCCGCGTCCGCCTTCGGGCAAGACCAGCTGTGCCCGTCGCTGCCCCTGGCGCCCGCGGCCCCTGCTGCCTCCAGCACAGGGCGCTGGGCTAGTCTTCCGGGAGCTCCCCTGCCCACAGACTTTACCAGTCCCGTTTTTCGGGAAGGTCACCGCATGGAGCCTTTTGGAGCCTCCATGTCCCTGCTTTCCTTCTGATTGGAACTGTGCTTTAGTAAAAACTACTTATTTTAACAAGTTTTCATGTTTACGTCCAATTTTAACCTTTCCAGGTTTGGAACCGTCTTCAATGTCAGAGCTGTGTTTTAAAAGTTACAGGATCACCTGGGTCAAGTGCAAGCAGCATGGCACTGTTGACCGCCCCCACCTGCTGATGGGACCAATGTCCCGCTCAGAGCTCCCGTCCCAGTGGGATGCAGGGAGGAGGGGAGAATGAACAGAGGAGCATCCAAACAGGTATGTCAGGTAACAATAAATCCTAAGAAATTTACTTTTCTAGCAATGCTTAGCTTACTAATTTTATTTTTCAAGTGCACCAACTTTTGATCTGTGTGTTGTCTCACATGTTGGATGCAGAATTTAAATTATATATTTTAGAAGCAATAAGAAAACAGGGGTTGAATCTTTTTTTTTAATCCTCACTGAGGGTATTTCCCCGTTGATTTTTGGGAGTGGGAGAGGGAAAGACAGAAATATCGTCGTGCGAGAAGCCTGCAGTTGAGGTATATGCCCTTGTCTGGAACCAAACCTGGGACCCTTTGGTCCACAGGCTGATGCTCTCTCTTCTGAGCCAAACCGCCAGGCAGAGCAGAACCTTCACGACCTGATGTCAGGCCAGAGGCAGGCTCCTGAGGCTTCAAGGGCGCTGGACAGTGGTGGGTGTCAGACTCAGGAGAGAATGGCATCTTCTCGCTCGGTCAGTGTGAGTGCACACATGCTTCTTTCTGCAAATGGCCTCAGGCGCCCAGCACCCCTGGGCACTAGACTAGAGCGTTCCATTGCACTCAGAATTCACAACAGGAGAGTGGGGTGCAGGAAAGGGTTGATCAGAAAAGTCCATCCAACTCAGATGCTGTGATTGTTGTGAACCATCTTATTACAAATATGAGAACAGAACAGACACACTGAGGGGCACAGATGTTAACTTCCCAGCTGCCAGCCCAACGCTCCTCCTATCATAGGGTCCGGGTTCAGGCCTCTGGAGCAATCTCCTCCTTAAACCAATCACTTGCCACCATGACGACGACTACTGCTCATTACCTGCGACACATTCTAACTCCACATCCTCTCTCACCATCACTGAGCCTGTGTGCTAAGGGAAACAGTCAAGTGTATTACCGGCCAAAACCCTGTCTTGGAGAGGCAAGAGAGCAAGCCATTTAGAAAGAAGCAGGTTTTAATTAAGTGTAGAACGGCACGAAGGACAAGTTCCCAGCAGTCCTGACAGGTGCAGGTGCGAAGGAAAATCCTGCAGCGCCCACCGTTCTGCAGTCTCACCCGCCCAAGGACCAGTGCGCGCCCCTCCGAGCACACAGGGCCCCTCCGAGCACACAGGACCCCTCCAAGCACACAGGGCCCCTCCGAGCACACAGGGCTCGGGGCTGGACCCGGAGGACTGAGTGGCCGCCCCTTGGGAGTCGGGTTAACTGTACTCGGCAGGGCCAGGGCCAGGGCGGCAGTGTCTTCCTTAGAAGATGGCCAGTGTGACAAGGACACAATGTGTCCATCTGTAACTCAAGGAAGCCAGCCAAGGCCTCCCAGCTGGGCAGTGTAACCCTCCACCTTACCCAGGGTCCCGCTGTCAGCCAAGCCCAGAGAACGTAGCAGGAGGGAACGGAGGGGCCTGCCACGCAGGCAGCAAAGCACTTCACTGCCATCCATCGAAGACCGTTTTCTTAGCTAGCCCACCAAGAAGGATGCCAAGTCCAGGGTTTTTAAAGATACAAAGACTGGTCCAGACAGGGAAAAGCCTGCGTTGTCAGAGCAATGTTCTCTCTGTAAAGCCAGGACCCTGGGGGTGGTGCCAGTCTTGAACTTTCACCAATCCTCTTCCCAGTGACCAATCACTTTCCGATACAAATAAGATACGCAGCCCCAAGCGTCCATCAGACAGACAGTCTCCCACGGAGGCTGCCCCAGCGGCTCCCAGTGAAGACAAGAGCTCACCTTCATCTAAGAGGGAGATCTTCCTCCAGCACACAGCCTCCAAGGTTTCACCAAAATTACCAGCTTTTAAAAAACCCACTAAAACCCCCCAACTACCGGGAGAGGAATAAGAGCAGCTGCCAGAAGAGCGCACTTACCCATGAGTGAGATGGGCTGGGTCACCGGAGGGGTGGGCAGGCTCGCGGGCGTGGCGGGCGGAGCGGCAGAGCCATACATTTTCGCGCTGTCACCAGACTCGGCGTTTCCTCTAGCCCCAGACACCACTGTTGGAATGGGATCCAATAGTAAGTCTTTGGGAGGGTCTTCACTTAGACCAGCGATAGTAGCTAAGGACAGAACCACATCAACATGTGGAGCCGAGGAACTGCGTCCCCCGCCACACTGGCCCTCGCACTGACCCGTGCGCCCTCCGCTCCCGACGCCACGGATATGCCCACACAGAAAACATGCTTACAGTTTGGGATGCTGATGGGCGGAGTGTGCGGAGGAGGAATGGACACTGGTGGCGTTATGGGAGGTGGGGGTCCAGGAGGAAGGAAACCTAGGACGAGAAAAACCGTCACTCACACTGCATCACTGCATCTCAGCCCCAAAACAACGTCTTCGCAAACCACGTGTGTACCTGGTGGTAAATGCATGGGGTTGAATCCTGGCCGTAAAAAGGGTGGAGGCGGCGGCGGCGGGGGAACGCCAGGACCGAAGCCGGGCGGCGGAATTCCCAGAGGCGGCGTGAAAGTGGGCGGCTGGAGCGCACCGACCACAGGAGGCCCCGGCTGATGTGGGGGGACCTGGGACGGAAAAGGAAAAATGAAGCCGCACATGTAGCCTCTCCCACCGGCACAGTGAGCAGAGACAGAGGCAACACCCTGTTGGGAAAACACGTCCCCAAACCTGTTCTTACTCTGCAACCTGTACCTGCCCCGAGGACAGAACCCAGTGTGCTCTCTGCTTTAGGGCCCAGACCCACTGCCAGGACCCGCCGGAAGCCTGAGAGCATAACCTCAGAAAAGCCACCCCACCGATGGATTCCACAGGGATCTGATCAGAGTCAAACTGCAGGGCCGGTGCTCTGACCTGAGAGAGCGTCCACTCTCAAGACCTGTTTGTTTATCTGTAAAATGGAAAAGTGCCGGCCTCAAAAATCATGGGGATTAAAGAGTTATAATGCATGTTAAGTGCTGGTGCCTGGCACCTAATAAACACCCAACGAATAAACACTTGCTATTGTTTAAAAAAACATATGAGCGATTTAAACAAACGAGTCAGGTTTCTTAAATGAATGCTGACATGACTCTCATTTAAAATGGACACGGAAGGGCCTCTCTGGAAGGGTGACCACAGAGTGACCCCTTAGGTCACTGTCCCAGCTGAAGCAGGAGGCGAGGAGCCCCACTTCTGTGTGAGTGCGGATTTCCGGGGACTCTGTGTAAGAAACAGAGAGGAAGGTGCTGACAGACAAGGAAAATCTAGCGGGTAATATGGAGACCCTGGGTCAACCACTGACCATTTAACACAAAGGTTTTTCACTGAGACGAGGTAACAGGAAACCTGCGAGCCTTAGACACGCCTCCTTCAACCCTCGTACCAGGGGGACAGAGGACAGAGGCGGAGCCCCGAGTGGGCACATTTACAGACAGGAAGCGTGTTGGGGCTCGGCTACTGTCCGCGGTCAATGGGGTTGGGACTGAAGCTCTGATCTACCAGAACCCAGCCCTTAGTCTGAAGTAACAGGACAGTGAAGACTCTCTAAGAATGTACCTTCATCTTAAATGGCACTCAATTTTTTTTTTTTTTTAATTCATGACAGCACCACCCAAACCAAAGATTTAAAAACATCTTTCCCTCAAAACAGCTGCTTGGCGGGTACGAATCCAGCTCTCTCCAGAGCTATGAAGAACAAAGATCCGATATGAAAATAAGGTACAGAAAAAGAGAAGAAACGAACAGGTTTGCATTTCATGTCAGACCTGAGATGCCAACCAGTTCGTTTCTTCTAGTGTAAGACATTCTGTAATCTAGACAGATGTAAGGCAATATGAATGCAGTCTGGTTTCATGAACATTGTTTAAAAATGTGTTGCAGAGCTTATAAGCAACAGGTCGGACATACCAAATATGACGAATTAACCCACATGAAGACTCAGGCCTTGACTATGAATGCGGACACACACCCACGTCAGACCGGAAAGCTGTATTTCAGAAAGCGGAAAGCCCTCCCGGGACCCTCACCTGTGGGGGAGGCACTGTGATCGGTGCGGGGACGGGAATGGGAGGGACAGGCACGGGCAAAGGCTTGGGGACGGGCGACACTGGCTCTGCATGGGAGCTCTCCGCCCCTCCATTCTGAGCAACTTCGTTCTCATGCTTCTTGGTGATTCCTTTCCACTCTGCGGGAATGAAAGACATTTAACAGTAGCAGCTTACCATGTTAGTTTAAAATGTTTAAATTCAGCTGAAACCAGTTGGCTGAGTGGATAGAGCATCAGCCTGCGGACTGAAGTGTCCCAGGTTCATTTCCAGTCAAGTGCATGTACCTTGGTTGCGGGCACATCCCCAGTAGGGGGCGTGCAATAGGCAGCTGATGGATGACTCTCTCCTTAATGTTTCTAACTCTCTCTCTCTCCCCCTTCCTCTCTGTAAAATCAATAATATATATATATACACACACAAAAAAATATTTTTTAAAATACATTTTATTGATTTCCTACAGAGAGGAAGGGAGAGAGATAGAGAGCTAGAAACGTCGATGAGAGAGAAACACTGACCAGCTGCCTCTTGCACACCCCCTACTGGGGATGTGCCCGCAACCAACGTACATGCCTCTGACCGGAATCGAACCCAGGACCTTTCAGTCCGCAGACTGATTCTACACCACTGAGCCAAACCGGCTTCGGCTAAAAAGATTTTTAAAAATAAAATATTTAAATCCAGAAGTAATTTTTGAAATGTTGATTATAATAAAAATAAAAACACTCCTGTGGTCTAATTATTAAGGAACTGCCCATGCTAATCTTATAAATGATATTTAAATTAGCAACATGCACAAAGCAAGTGCCCACTGTGTGCTGGCGCTGCACACTTTCCCTCAGCAGGCTGATGCTCAGCACCACCTGCAAGTAGTTCTGTGATGACAATTCCCACGTCATGGAAAACAAAGACACCTGTCCCAGGGCTGTACCTAAGCAAGCGGCAGAGCTGCCGTTCCCCGACACACCTGACCCCGTCTGCTCTTGTTTGGACAGAGGGTGGGGAGGGAGGAGCCTCCGGAATGCCGGGCACACAGCAGACACGGCCTCCGTGGCCCTCGGCACGGCTGTGAGTGGAGTGAAGGCATCGTCCCCGTGCAGGGAGGAGGGGCCTGGAGCAGTCAGCCCGGCACCGACCACAGCCCAGCACCCTCCAGCCACAGCCCCGCTGCACGCTCCTCCCCAGCCCACTGCCGTGCCACGCCAGCCTGTGCTCCTTGCTCCTCTTGCATCAGCTCTGGTCCCTCTCCAGGTCATGCCCAGAGCAGCTGCCACTTCCCCCTGCAATCCCACTCAGTCTGGCATCTCCAATAGTCCTGACCACAGACACGGCCCTCCTTGCCATACACACTTATTTCCCACGACTTCTCTGGACACACACACGTTTTCAGAGACATCACGCCAGCCAGCGCTGCGTTACCTGGGTTAAGTGTGTCGCTGTCCAACATGCCTCCTTCACAAAAGCTCTCCAGCTCCTCAGGCTTGACTTTGTCCCAAGGAACGTAAGTCACACCCAGCTCCACATCCCAGTACTGCTTATAGTCGGCCTTGATGCCTTTGTTTAAGGCCCAGGCAATCTGTTTCAGCGTTCGAGAGAGAGAGGGGGAGAGAAAGAAAGATAACGGCCTAAGTTTCGAGAGTTCAGCTCCCGCCATCCTACTCGCTCAGACTTGGGCAGCTGGCCTTGCTGTCCTGGGCCTTATCTGCTGCTAGGAAATCGGTGCCCATTTGTCTCACTCTGACTTATTGTACAATAGGAATTTAACTGGCACCACCTCCTTACCCACTTCCCCCAACCTCCCCGCAACCCAGTCAGCATAAAAGTTAGAGAAAGGACAGTGTTCATCAGGGCAACTGCCACTTTCCTGGAAGACCCAGCCCCGAAGACCACTTTCCAAAGCCAGGACTGGCCTCACCCAGCACAAAGCAAGCATTCTGCGGCCGCCCCACCCCGGGGCAGTGTGACGCCGCGGGAAACACTGCGTGTGGCCCTCGGGGAAGAAGACCCATCACCTATAGCTTTTCTCCTGGCTTCGTCGAATAGCTTCCATAGTTAATTCTAAGATGCAATGACAAACCTTAAATCCAAAATTTTTGAAATGACAAGATAAAATATTTTATTAAATAATATATTTAAGCCAGCCAGTGTTGCTCTCGTGGTTGAGTGTCGACCTATGAACCAGGAGATCATGGTTTGATTCCTGGTCAGGGCACATGCCCAGGTTGTGGGCTCGATCCACAATCAGTGTGGGGTGTGAAGGAGGCAGCCATCAAGGATTCTCTCTCATCATTGATGTTTCTCTCTCTCTAGCCTTCTCCCTTTCTCTCAGAAATCAATAAAAATGTATTTAAAAAAAATTATATTTGAGGCACTAATACCTTGAAGGCCTGTTCTATCTACATTGAACAAAAGAAATAAAAATTCTACCATGAACCTAACATTTAAAATTTGGTAACCTTAAAAGATGCATATGAGCCAAAACCGGTTTGGCTCAGTGGTAGAGCGTCGGTCTGCGGACTGGAAGGTCCCAGGTTCGATTCCGGTCAGAGGCATATACATTGGTTGTGGGCACATCCCCAGTAGGGGGTGTGCAAGAGGCAGCTGGTCAGTGTTTCTCTCTCATCGACATTTCTAGCTCTCTCTCTCTCTCTCTCTCTCTCTCTCTCTCTCTCTCCCTTCCTCTCTGTAAAAAATCAATAAAAATATACTTTTAAAAAAAAGATGCATATGAAATATGCTTGTGTCCAGTTTAAGAAATGAAGTCCCAGGTAGAAAGAACACTGTACCTTTATGGACTTCTGGTTCACTTTATAGTTTCCTCGGCTCAGCTTCTGCAGGGCCCGGTAGGCGTCTTGCCTATGAACCATGACAATGTAGGCACAGCCTCTGGGAGGAATCATCTGCTCCAGAACATTTCCACGTTAGAAAATAGGGTCACGACATCAAAGAACAAGATACAAGTCACCAGTTCCAACAACCCAACCATTCTCATCGCCCCACTCAAGCCCGCACTCCACCGCCAAGATTAAATACCTCATAAACTGGCTATCTAAGTTTGGTCTCAATTGCCAGTTATTAACGAGCCTGCAGTCCCCTAAGCTTTATTACATACAGACTTTTCTAGAAAAAGGTTTTAAACTTGGTTATTAAAGATGCATGATTAAAAGCAGAGAGTGCTAAACACTGACTCAGGACCCCTAAACTCTAGCCACATGTTCTACAAACCTGGGCAAATGTTAACTGAGGCCCCAATCCTTATTTTACGGGTGACGATCACATCTGCCCATGGTCGTTAAGTAACTGAATAAACACTCACATTAATCGATTCAATTGGACCAAACTCTTCTAGGAGACTGGCAACGTCCTGCTGAGTCGTCCTTTTGTCCAGCTGTCCCACCCAGAGGGTAGTGCTACAAACTGAGAGTAAAACGACCGTCACAACACGCATGCCTGACAGGGCCCCACGCTGTACCCGACAGGAGAAAGCCACGAGAGAACCAAGCACGAGTTCCACCGTGACACCGCAACCCTGAGGAGCAAGGCCCACACGCGAGTCCATTCAGACATCCCGGAAACGGTGCTACTGCTTCCAGAACCAAACCCAGAACAGCGCACAACAGGCAGCATTAAAACGCTGGCCTCGTGGACAGACCGAAGACTCTGTCCTGACCCGGGTCCCAGCCAGCGCAGTGCTTTTGTTCCCCATGTGCGGCCGCCCCGCTCCCTGCCGAGCCTGCCCAGGCAGTGAGCTTTACGGAGCCCGAAGCTGTACACCTGCCCCGGCCATATCCGTTACCATTTCAGATCAACTCTGGTGTATAGCACACTCTGTTAAACATACTTTCAGCACACACAGAGATTCAGGAAAATAATGCAAGGTAATACCGTCTGTAAACAGGAAATCTTTAGAAAAATAAGAGGGTATCAGTGTTTCTGGGGAAACAATAAATAAAACCTTCCCACTGTGTGTGGAGTTGGCTAGAATTTGTATTTCCCACACTCACTCCTTACTGCCGTTGCACGTGCAAAAGCAAATACAAGTGTGTGCACTAAACTAAGGAGACGCGATAAAGCAGCATTCTGCTGGCATTCAGGAAGATTTTAAACCCACGCCAGGAGGAAGAACGCCAGAAGCCCGACTGCAGAGGTGAGCTTACCGCTCGCGGTCTCGGACCTGACGGGAGGAAGGCCCTTCTGCCGGCGCTCCCTCTCTTTCTCTCGGTCCCGTCTTTCTTGGGACCGAGAGCGAGGAGAGTGGCGGCGTCTGTCCCGGGACCGAGATCGAGAGCGTCGATGCCGAGACCGCCGAGATCTAGAGCCAGACCTGGAGCGCCTCCTCTTCGGTGACCTGACGGTTCCGGGGGAAGAACGGACAGCACACGAAGAACAGTTGTCAGGCATGTGAGCGCGTGTTAATTTGAAAAAGACATAAAACATACAGCAGGTAATTTAACGTGTGAGCGTGGAAGAGACCGACAGCAGGGAGTCCACTGGAATGAACCACGGAAGGCCGGCAGCCTATGGAGTGCCGTCGCCGATGCCTGTGCTGCGCCAGCTCCACGCCTGCAGCCTCCGCTGCCACCTACCTCTCTGCCAGGCCCCTCTGCGGAGACTACAGTGCGTGTGAGCCACCTGTACGCAGGCGCCTCGCACGCCCAGGGCACACATGTGGCTAAGACCTCTGACCTCAGGTTGGTTTGCAAGTACTTCTGCTCCATCTCACACAGGCACACAGCACACCGAGTGCTATTTATTCACCCAACGTGGATAAGCTCTATGCCTCCTGACACACAGGACTGGAAGACATTTTCCACAAATTACCTGGATGCTGACCTAGATCTCGACTTTCTGTTATCCGACATATGCCGCTTCACCTCTTGAATACAAGGCTGTTCTACTTTCATTTCCTTTAAAGACAAAACAAACAGTTATCGCTAAATGAGAAAAGGGAAAATTAAAAATAAGGCACAGGACAAAACCTAAAAACATTACAAGTCTCCTGTCCTGAAGTCGGGTGGGTGACATACTGTTCTAAGAAGCCATCATTAGGCACTCATTAAGCAATCTAACTCTATCTCAATCCCCAAGAACCTTATGGAAATGGGTAGTAACATTACGCCCATTTTACAGACGAAAACTGGGCACAGACAGACTAATGTGTGTCCTAGGCCAGTCTCCCTATATTCAGAAACGACAGACAGGCAGGCAGGAACCAGCACATCAGTCCCGGCAGCCAAAGGAGTCACCAGCGAGAAGGGGGCTCGTACCTGATGTGCTTTCTGGGTGAGGGGCTCGCTGGGGGCCGGGAACGGGGCCGGGAACGGCTGCTGCACGGGGGCGGTCGGAGGAAGCACAGGCGGAGCCAGCGCGGGGAACGCCGGTGGGGGCAGAAGGCTGAACGCCGGCATCTGTCCATTAGGAGGAAGCGGAACCTGGGTTTGAAAGAAAGGGTGTGAGTAGGTTTTAAATTACAGCTACGAAAACCAAATTTTAAAGCCCCGCCTTTCATATGAAACTAAAATACTTTAATTTTTATCAAAGAAAAACAATGATACACAACAGTAATTAACAAAATTCCAGTTTATCATTAGTCAAAGAACTGTTACATATCCAAGTATATATGCAGGTTAAAAATCCCACAACTCATTTTAAAATTATGAACACACAGGTTTGGGGTTTATATGTTTAAAGATCTAACTTCATTTATTGTGAGGAAACTATGTGACAGACTGAACTTAAAATCAGAGGTACTCTGATTTGGGGGAGAAAGAGGCTAGAAGCACTGGCTTGTAGGTTCATTCTTTTATGCCTACTTATAGGATTTCAAATATAATGAGAGTAAACCACAACTTAATATATTTCTTCATGTGCCATTCCAATGTCAATACACTTATAAATATAATTATGTCACAAAAGAAATATTCTTTCTAAATTATTGATAAACTTTCCGTAACTGTTAAAACATTTGGAAATAAGTTTATAGGTTTTCTTCATGTTTTGAAATAGACTTATAAAGTACTTTTCATACTTCATCAACAACTCATTAAACATCAGTATCAACTTCCCACTACCACGTGTCTAAGTGGCCCGAGAGCGAAGGGAGTAAGGTGAGTGCGGCCTGAGAGACTGAGTACCTCCTGCACTCGGCCACCAGTCTATTCCCAGGACCAGCCTCAGAGAATCACTGCACAGGCCAGACCAGTCTCTAGTCTGGGGCACTGGAGGGCCAGGATCGGCACTTTAAAAAAAAGTGTTATTGAATTTAGAGAGGGGGAGAAACAGCAACGAGAGAAACATCTCGATCGGCTATCTCCTGCACATCCCCTGGGATCGAGCCCACAACCCGGGCGTGGCCCTGACCAGGAACTGAACTGTGACCTCTGGGTGCAGGGGTCAATCCTTGCCCACTGAGCACACCATCCGGCAGGATTTGCATTTTTCAGATGCCCCTCTACGCACTGTTAACTGAAATGCAGAGTTGAGCTTAAGCAACTCTCAGTTGCTGTGGAAGAATCGAAGAGGATTTGCTAAGTAAACCCAGTGAACACATCTCTGCTGCCTGCCGGCATCCTCCTGTGGGCCATGCTCTTCCCGTGCAGACTCCCAGCGCTCGCCTACCGGCCGAGCTGAAAGCCTCGAAAGCATCTCATCGCACTGAGCAGACCTCCTCACGGGAAGAGCGGGGCCAGGGTCTGCCTGCTCTAGACTACTTTACAATGCTTCCTGGTAAGTTGGGAGCATGCAGTGTTTGGCATCTCTGTTAAAATTAAAGCAAAAAGCAACTCAAATCCGTTATGTGCTCAGCCGGGTGTCCGGCAGCTGTAGCACTCCCTATCCAATCACGCGGCTGAAGATGGACTGTGAAGAGCCCTGGAGACCTGACCCGCAGCGGCAGCAAACACACCTGGACCTGATGGTGCACGGGGTCCTGCGGCATTGCCATCATCGGAGGCTGGAACGGGTCCATGTTTTGATGTGGGGGGTACGCTGGCTGCTGCATGCCATCTCCAGGATACCCACTGAAAAAGCACGAGCGAGCCTTTTACCAGCCGAACACACACGTGATTCTAAGCCCCACTCACACAGAAGTACAAGAATGTTCTCCAGGAGGCACTGGTAATCAACACTTTCCTGAATCGTCTATCTGCCCACAGACTAACTGGCACACAGCACCATTCCCAACATAAAAGCCATTTTTAAACGTTTCTAGGGCCCTTCCTCATGTGGGAGAAACTCCAAAGTGTCTGTGTTTAAAAGACAAGGACGGTATGTGGACAAGGATCATGCTCTCCATGTCCCTGTGCTATGCCTGCGAGCACAGCGACTCCACGCGCGGAGGGAGGGAGACTCACAAGGGCGCCTGTGGGGGAGACGCGGTGGGCACGGCAGCAGTGGGCGGGGCCGGGACAGCAGCAGGTGCGGCAGCAGCAGAGGTGGTACCCGCAGCAGCAGCAGCGGCGGCGGCGGCGGCAGCAGCATCTTCTTTCTTCGATTCTTCCACAGCTTCTGGCTCATCGTCATAATCAAATCGATCAAGTAGTTTCTGCAACAGGAATGTCGGTATTCCACTTTAAAATTCCAGCAGCATTCAGTGCACAAAAACTTTATAAAAACAGATGTGCCCACCATCTCTAGCGCCACCACACTGCCATGGACCATCTCATTTCCCACATGCCCCGAGGAACTGCCACTTGAAAAAGACAGCTTCTGCTCTGCCTTTCTTCCCAGTTATACAGGCGGTACTTTCCTTCTGACCATCGTCTAAATGCTTACTTTATTCGTTTACAATAGACGTATTTTACTGAGATAGCCATGTTTCTAGACAAAACCTTTAAAACTTTGCACACCTAATAATGGGGCACATTTCAGCAGGCTGCACAATGTACAAAATGCAAGACCGTCTTATCCACATGCTATGAATGCCCACAGAAAAATGCCCAAGGCTGCCCGGCCACCAATGCTCATGAGAAGAAAAAGCGACAGGCACAGACAGGGCTGCACGGAGAAGTCTCGCCACCTGCGCCCCAGCCTCTTCCTCAGAACTCCCGCTCCCTTCCGGTCACCAGACATGTCCGTAAGAAAAAGGAACAAGGCCCTTCACCGATCGATCACGTGTCTAGCAGAGCTATCGCTGCGACCACATCTGTTCAGAAAGGAAGGAATGGCACAATCCACACCGCTACTGTGTTGGTAGATGGCACACACTTCATCACGAGAAGCGTGCAATGCAGACAGATATTCTTACAAGAAAACTAAAGCTCAGGCATTCAGAAACAGCCGGATGTACAGTCAGTGAACGGCAGACTCAGGAGGTAGACCCGGTCTTTTTGACTTCAAAGCCCTAGTCTCCAGCATCCAATGAGCGATCCCCCCTCTTAAGGGGTCCATTCTGTGCATGGCTTTCCAGCCTCAAATTCCCAAGTTGATGGTGCGCTGTGACAGTTCTGCTAGAACTCTACTGACAGGAGACTTCTGGATTAGGAAGGGACAGCACGTTTCTTTCTCTGTCGCTCGAGGCCATGGGATTCGGGTTCTTACCGTACCTGCATGGCCCCACAGGACCGGCACCTTGCCCCGCGGCAATCCAATGCAGGCGCTACCGTCTGTCTTTATAGTGGTGCACACTGACTGTCTGTGCAACTCAACTCCAGAATAAAGCCAACGTTAAAACTCAGGTCTAAATTGTCTACAAAAAAACACGATCAGCTATGATCTCTAAAGTTTATCCCATATAAATGTGTATTTATAGTCTTAAAATCTATATCTATTGCTTTGGAAAAAATTTGAAACTATTAAAAAATTACAATAAGAGCCCTGACTGGTTTGGCTCAGTGGATAGAGCATCAGCCTGCGGACTGAATGTTCCCAGGTTCGATTCCGGACAAGGGCATGTACCTGGGTTGCAGACACATCCCCAGTGGGGGTTGTGCAGGAAGCAGCTGATCAATGTTTCTCACCAATGTTTCTAATTTTCTATCCCTCTCCCTTCCTCTCTGTAAAAAATCAATAAAATATATTTATTTTTAAAAATTACAATGAGATCTATCCAAAAATTCATTTTTGTTGCTTTTTAGGCAACTGAAGACCTATGAATCAGCTGAAATAAACTGTTCAGTTTGTCTAGCTTAAGACGAACACTTTTAGCAATGAGAAAGGCACGGAATTCCTTCTTCCAAACGTGATATAAAAACAAACACTGACCATCCCACTTGGGGCCGAACATCAGAGGAATTACAACGCAAAGAAGCGAGGAGGGGACGCACTCGCACTGCCTTCCTCGGCATTCTCCCGGGAGGCCTCGCCGCCGGGGCAGAACAAGGGAAAGAACCAGGCAGAGATGGATGCGGAAGAGAAGTAAAAACGTAGCTACAATCAAAATCAGAGAACTATAAAATTAGGTGTTTAATACCATGACCATTTTACAGGATAAAAAAAAAATCAGTAATTTACGCACTGTCATCATTAATCAAATGAAATGTTATGAAACACTAAACCTGAAAAACACCTAAGAATAAATAAAACAAATGTATAACACATACAAAACAGACAATGCAGTCTACGGAGACTATAAAAACCTGTCACTACTTCTTAATTTAACCCACAGATTCACGAATGCTGACACGAGTGCTAAGTCCACAGAGGAGCAAGCGCCCTGGTTCCCTGTACGTGCCATCGTGGCTGGGTGACTGTCCAGCTGTTTGGCCAAGCATTAAGCTCAGCGGACTGTGCAGGGATTTTTAATGTGACTCACATTTCTATCAGGGCCTCTGAAGGAGGAAAAACCTTCCATAATGCACATGGCCTCAGCCAACCAGCTGAACGTAGGTTTCCTGAAGGAGCCCTCAGGCCAGCAAGCCAGAACCGTGCCCTTCCAGACCCGAGTGTCCAGCCTCGCTGCCCTATGAAGGCCAGTCTGCAAGCCTCCACACGGCCTGAGCCAGACCCTCAAAACCAACCAGCCTTCCCGCCCTTCCCTCTCAGGGGTGCGTGGTGCCTGTACGATGGGCTCGGTCCCCTGGAGACCCCGACTCCCATCGTGGCTGAAGAAGAGCCAAGAAAACCGGGACGGAGGGGAGCGAGGGGTGTGTTACCTGGAAATAAATATGACATGTAAGCTACAAGTACTTAAGTTATAATGCAAAACAAACACATTCCTGGGACAAAACAGTGTCTAAAGAGAGGCGTAGAGACAAATGAGAATTTAGTCTCAGATAAAAACAGTAAGGGAAAATCAGTTCTTCCTAAAAATATAAAGATTTAACTATCATGTACCGTATTCTAAAGTAGGTTCCCAAAGACTGAAGAGACAAATGTAAAAAACAAAAATACAAAGCCACTATAAGCAAATATAAAATTTTTAAAAATACAGGTGGGAAGAGGTTTCTGAATCCAAACACAGAGCAGAAAGTGAGTAAAACCGCAAGGAAGCATTTACACCCACATGTGCAAGAAGATAGTTCTGAAAAGCACACACCAATCTGCTCCGAGAGAAGTGGGTTAGAGCATTTTGCATTATTCGTGTTTTCCCCTCATACGTGTAGGCTTATTGCACTCAAAAATTTTATCCTGCCTTCTTCTAATCAGTGTCACTCAAAGATCACCAAGATGCAGCCCTGGCCAGGCAGTGCAGCTGGTCCGCGCCTCCCACTCCCCCCAGGCTCAGGCTCAGGCTCAGTCCCAGCCAGGGCCATGCAAGAACCAACCAAGAGTGCCCGCACGAGTAGAAGAACGAGAGGACGTGTCTCTGCCCCCCCCATAAAAAAATTTATAAAAATAAACAAGTCACCAAGACACAGCGACAGCCAGTGCTCACTGCACAGAGTCTTACTTTGAACCATCAGCATATTTTACATAAAACATAATGAAAGTCATTATCTCTTATCATTAGAATGTTGGAAAGAAATCAGAAATCTCACAGATGATGAAAAGTTATCATGTATTTCAAAGACCTTCAAATTGTGCTTTTTGAAGTGAATCTGTGAAAGGAAATAACACGTTATGTAGCCAAAACCGTTTGGCTCAGTGGATAGAGCATCGGCCTGTAGACTGAAAGGTCCCAGGTTCAATTCCGGTCATGGGCATGTACCTTGGTTGCGGGCACATCCCAGTGGGGGGTGTGCAAGAGGCAACTGATCAATGACTCTTTCTCATCGATGTTTCTAACTCTCTATCCCTCTCTCTTCCTCTCTGTAAAAAAAATCAATAAAATATATTTAAAAAAAAAAAAGTTATGTAGCCATAAACCCACAGAAAGAGAGAAGACGACAGGAGTGTAGATGTCTGGTTAACATGCAGCCCGAAGCTCGAGCTGTGTACTCAGCATATCACACCCTGAGCGCTGCCCCTGGAAGATGCGTGGCCAACAGAGCACGAGGACCTGCACCACCTGCACCCTCGGACCGACGTGGTGACCAGGGTGTTTACCACCAAGCCCAGGAAGCACTGTCAGCGTCTACAGACAGGGGGCAGCTAAACGGCGATGTGTCCAGGTAACAGGCTACCCTAACAAGCGGAAATGTAGACCCAAATCTATAACTGCGCAGCACCCCAAAAAGGTGAGGTAAGACAAGTAAGATCAAAGCAGTGAGCTGCAAGCCATCCAGCCCCCACGCAGATTCTGAGAAGCCGCTCAGCACGACGTTACGGCAGCTACTCCAAGTGCGGGGTTAATGGCACACTGTTTACTTTCCTTTACACTGTTCGCTTTTACGTTTTTTCCTTTACTTCCTGAAAAAGGTTGCAGTGAGTATACATATTAAATTTGTAGACAGAATTTGCCGAGACCGGTTTGGCTCAGTGGATAGAGCATCGGCCTGCGGACTGAAAGGTCCCAGGTTCGATTCCAGTCAAGGGCATGTACCTTGGTTGCGGGCACATCCCCAGTAGGGGGTGTGCAAGAGGCAGCTGGTCGATGTTTCTCTCTCGTCGACGTTTCTAACTCTCTATCCCTCTCTCTTCCTCTCTGTGTAAAATCAATAAAAATATATATATTAAAAAAAAAATTGTAGCCAGAATTAAGACACTGTTGGATGTTGGGGACACCTGGAAGCAGAGTAAGAAAAGCAACAGACACAGAGGTGCTGGAGGGCAGCTCCAACGTCCAGGGAGGGAGGGACACGGGGCGGTGGGAAGCGTACCTTGTCAAACGCCGTGGCCTTCTGCTCTGGCGCCGGCGCCGGGGTGGTCTTTAACTGAGCGGTGATGGCCTGCACCTGAGCCATCACTGCGTTGTCGATGGCGGGAGACTGTGGTTTTGGAGGCTGCTGAAAAGTCTGAAGGATCTGCTGAAGCTTAAAGAATGGAAAACCGATAAACCACTAACAAAGCGTAATCACTGCATCAACAGACATGTTACTAAAAAATCTTAAAGGTGAACTCAAAATAGCATAGGCACAAAGTAAACTAGAAAAAAGAACCAACATTTTAGTACTGGTTAAGATTACTGTGAATAAATATAGCAAGGCTACCATCTGTGTTGCTTAAGGTGAAAAATGTAAAGGAAAGCACACTGAATGTGAGCAAGGTAAGTATGCTTCTGGAAGACGCAAACATCGTCGCCAATTCAAACGACTGGGAAGCAGCCTGCGACGTCACAGCGGTGAGCCGACGTCACAGCGGTGAGCCGGCGCCACAGCGGTGAGCCGACGTCACAGCGGTGAGCCGACGTCACAGCGGTGAGCAGCACGGGCCGCGGAGCGTCCGAGCTCTTCCTCCTCCAGGGCACTGCTGCTGGGCACTGCTGCCCAGCTCACCCTCCGCACCCCACCCTGCCGCGCATCCGTCCAGTCAGGCTTTCTAGCTGGAGAGCACCGTGTCCTCCCTCGCATGTGCTCATGGTCAGGAACAGAAACAAGGACCCCCCCCAGAGCCCAGCGGCAAACACTTCCTCTCGGTCCCTTACCTGCTGCCCTTGGGTCGTCTGAAACAGCTGGGCCACAGCAGCAAAAGCGTCTGAGCTGGGCAGCTGCTGCACGGAGGGCACAGAGTTTGCAGTGACCAGGGGTGGCTCGGAAGAAACTTTAACTGGAGGCAGCGGTGAACCTGAACGAGAGGAGGTCATGAAGGCCAAGAACATTGAACCTGCCCACTGCTTCACCCTCTGCTAAGCTGCACTGAACAGCGTCCGTTCGGTTCGCAGAGAAAAGGAGAGACCGTGCTGTGGGAGTGGATGCGGGGACGAGCCGGGAAGGGCCGCCTCCTCCGTACAAACGGTCGTGGGAAGAAGCCGTCCCCCCAGGAGGGCGTCCGCAGCATGACCAGACCCGCTCCACAAGCAGAAGCCGCACCCACAGCTCAGAGCCCGCCTCACCTTCGTTGTTGGCGACGCTGTCTGCGCCCGGCACGGCGCTGCTGTTGCCTGCGGCCATGTCCAGAAGGGGCTGGATAATTTCTATTTTGAATACTCCGTTTTTTTGCCAAAGGTTCAGCACACGAACTATTTTACTCTGTTATATGTGAGGAAACATGCATACACAATTAATATTTGCATACATAACTTATTACACCTTACCAAAAAAAGAGAGTAAAACAATAACCTTAAGTCGATTTTTCAATATTAAACAGTTTTGTGTGTGTGCTTTTATATTTTTATTGATTTCAGACAGAAAGAGAAAAAGAGAGAGAAACATCAATGACGACAGAGGACCACTGATCGGCTCCCTAGTGCACACCCCACACTGGGGATCGAACCTCCAACCCAGGCCTGTGCCCTTGACCAGAATCGAACCTGGGACCCTTCAATCCACAGGCCAGTGCTCTATCCACTGAGACAAACTGGCTAGGGCCTAGGAAAATAAAATCTGTTGTCAGAATCATAGCCTCGTTAAGCTAGCAAGCCTTTCATCAGCAGTGTAACCTACAATAAGAAACAGAGAAGGGAAAAAGGAAACAGAAAAATAATATAACCTACAGAATCAAAAGAAACCATTTAATAATAGAGAGGTGGATTTAGAATGCTCATACTATATCTATGGTTAAAAAGAAATCCCATCCCCAAAAACATGACAGAACCGAAGTCCTTACTTAAGATGATTCTAACACCTGCGAGCGTTAGGAAACTGACCAGCAACTGCGGGGCCAGCAGTGTGGACAGGTGAGCATGAAGGTGTGCCTTGGGTGACACTCTCATCTCCTCAAGGACTGAAGCTCTGCTTTTCCTCGTGTGTCCTTGCCTCCACTATGAACCCAGAACCACATCACTGTCTCCTGTCAGGTCTCCATTCTTCATTCCTCTCCACAGGCTCCCGCCCCTGGACCCCTGCCTGGTGGACTCAGCCACACCGTGCGGAATCGGACACTGCGTCTGACTGCTAACCAATGTCACTGCTGCTCCCGCACCCGAGTGCCAGGCAGCGGCACCACTACTGCCCCCCACTTCCTTCCGGAACGCACAGCATCTGCGCTGAGCGTGCCCTTCTCTACCAGAATGTCCTGATCACTCAGCTACAAGTGAATCTTCCCAACATCACCTTCTTTAAAACACAATGGTCCTGCCCTGGCTGGTTTGGCTCAGTGGATAGAGCGTCGGTCTGTGGACTGAAAGGTCCCAGGTTCGATTCCGGTCAAGGGCATGTACCTTGGTTGCGGGCACATCTCCAGTGGGAGGTATGCAGGAGGCAGCTGATTGATGTTTCTAACTCTCTATCCCTCTCCCTTCCTCTCTGTAAAAATCAATAAAAAATATAAAAAACAAAACAAACAAATAAAGGAAAACCCAATGGTCCTGCCCGGTCAGTGTGGCTCTGTGGTTGAGCATCAACCTATAAGCAATCACGGTTCAATTCCAGGTCAGGGCACAGCCTGGGCTGTGGGCTCAATCCCCAGTAGGGGTGTGTGCAGGAGGCAGCCAATCAATGATTCTCTCTCATCACTGATGTTTCCATCTCTCGCCTTTTCCCTTTCTCTCTGAAATCAATAAAAGCAAGCAAAACCACAATGGTGCTTTCATATTTCAACAGTATGACTTTCCTAAAGGATTTTACAAGAAAAATAAATATGAGAAAAAAGCTATAGAAAAAACTGGGTTTTGTTTCAAGTTCAGAGATTACGATGATTTCTATCGAATACCATAGTAGGCTTCAAATATCTAAAATACATTTAAGTTGATCTAGATCCAAATTAAATATAAATGAAAACAAAAGTTTTAATTTAAAAATTAACTATATTGACTATACCTTATCTTCTGATGGACACAGATATAAATATTGGAATGTGGCGGTTATGTTTTTAGAGAATCTTGGCCCAAAAACATCTTTATCAGTTCCAAACTGATGACGAGACTGTCGTACAATTGAGTCGATTACATATAATCCTGGAACCTTGTATTCTGGTTTACACTACAAAGATAAAGATGTAAAGTCAATACAAGAAAGCAATTTGACACCCATCTACCTCCCGTCAATGAAACTGTATACTAGTGAGTCTTTCTATGAGAAACTCCTTGCATGGTTAGCTGTCTTCACGGCCAGCTTGTCAAATGCCCAGTCTTTACAGAGCTGCTACTTTCTTGGTACTTCAGACCCCGTACCTTATTTCTCTCTCATGCCCTCCCTACCTCCCACCACAGCTTCCCAGATCATCATTAGTCACCAAGCCCTCCACACAAATCCAATTCATCCTGCTCAAGAAATAAATTTTACCTTTAAAATTGCGCAAAGGTAATTTTAACAATGTATTCATTTAATTCTGTTCCAGTACAGTATCAAAAAAAAAAAAAAGGAAAGGTCTTCGGCCTATGAAATGGAAAAAATAATAGAGAAACAGATACCTACATACATTCCAGGGGTATAACCTTATGGAAGGTGATTCGCAATAAAGGCAAAGCCGCATTTCACCCAACAATTCTACGTCTAGAAATGTTCCCTCAGAAAAACCCTGACGAGACAGCTGATGTTTCCACAGCCACGCGTGGAGTGCACTGTCCCCCTCAGGCAGCGGCTGAGCAAGTGGGGAACAATCGTGCAACAGACCACGCTGTCGATGTCTGCTAAGCCCAGGGGGACAGCAGGCCACCAATCAGCGCGTGTCCGTTTCCCTCTCATTAGTGTCCTTGTATGTAAAAACCAGGAGCAGGTCCAAACCTGGTACCGTACACAGCGGGTGGGTACCCAGCGGGTGCGCTGGTGCCTGCAGGGGCCTTAAGCTCCCCCATGTGCTTATCGGTCCTGTGATTTGCTACTTCATCTCTCAGCCGGTATTCACAGGCCACCACGCTTACGGGCGCACCACACGCACAGCCCGGTTGGGGAGAAGACAGATGCCTCAGTCCCCTTCTCAGGACTCTGCGGAGACACACACGTGCTAACCACACGGCTGTAAGCACACTCCGGCACTGTAACTGAAGAACATGTGAACTGGGGGAGCAGGGGGAGCTGTACTTCCATCTGAAACGCGCCGGCGGAGTTACATGCCCGAGGACCGGGGCAAAGGGCAGAGCACGAGGCTCGGGCCCGGGCGCAGGGAGCTGCTGGGACCCGCCCTAGGCTGGTGCTCAGCCAGCAGCGCGGCTCTAAGTGAATCCGTTTCTTTAAAAACCCTCGGTAGAGGCTCAAAGAACCTGCAGCGACAACTTTTTGTGTAGTGGCTTTACAAGCAAGCATCCAAATGACAATTTACCAAGCAAATTACAAATGCTGAACATAACTGAAAGGAGGTAATAAGAAAACGGATAGTTACCTTTTTGATGAACTTTTCTACTATTTGAACTACATGCTTATAAAGCTGAAAAGAAAGAAAAGAAAATTATTTTCCAGTTTATGTATTTCTACATTTCCTGCAATGTAATTAGAAGATACTTAAAACCTTGAAATTTGCATTATTTAAATAATTCTCAAGATATAAACACCATGTATATGATTTTACTTTTATGTGGAATCTAATAAACTAACAACAAAAAGATTATACTGAATAAACCATAAGAAATAATCTAGCCAATGACTGAAAGAAACAGAAATTAACTAAAGCACAAACCCTCCAACCCCAAAGCGAAGGCTTTTCTTTAGATTTTTAAATCAATAACCCTTCACAAAGCAGCATATCAAGGCAACTTTATGAGAGAGCTGAGAACAATGGAACTAGAACTAAAATATGCAGTTTCTAAAATTAGGTATGATCTTGGGTAAGAAACTTAATTTTGTTGAGCCCAAATTTTTGTTTTAAAATAAAAATGACGCTAATACTCAGCTTATTAATGACAAGAATGAAATGAAATATAAAAAATGTGTGCACTCTGCCCTCTACTTCTGGGAGGTCACGTTTTTCAAGCACACACGGGCACATGGGGCCATCTGAGGAGCCCGGCGCTCAGGCGTTAATTCGGATTACCAATTATCATGTTTCACTGCCTGTTGTTAAATACTTGTAATTCTTTTTTTTTTTTTTTTTTAATATATTTTATTGATTTTCTTACAGAGAGGAAGGGAGAGAGACAGAGAGCCAGAAACGTCGATGAGAGAGAAACATCGACCAACTGCCTCTTGCACACCCCCTATCGGGGATGTGCCCGCAACCAATGTACATGCCTCTGGCCGGAATCGAACCTGGGACCTTTCAGTCCGCAGACCGACGCTCTTCCGCTGAGCCAAACCGGTTTCAGCAAATACTTGTAATTCTTATTTAATTACACCTCAACAAAATGGGAAATATACTAGGGAAATGCTAGTAAAACAAAAGGAAGAGCCGTTTGAAACAGCATTACAATGCAAACACACCGCACAACTGCCTGCACCCTCAGCAACAGCTGGTGCGTGCTCTCTGCTTCAAGCCTGAGTCAATTCATAAGATGAATTCTCATGTTTAATAAACTGCAAAATTTCAGACATTTTTCAAATTAAATGTTAATTTTACTCTTACCTTAATGGCTTTAATAGCAGCTTTTGTGATGAGAATCATCTTGGCTCGAGAGATGGGAGGTTTCATATCCATAAGTGAAAAGAGCTTAAAAAAATAAGCAAAAAAATAAATAAATAAAAATTTTTTTTAATTAAAGGTAAAATTAGAGGTCAATTCACCAGTTCTACAGATGGTTGCAATGTATTAACTAAGAAAGTAACTTTTGGAACTAAGTTTACACATTTGGCTAATAAAGAAAAATCAAGAGCTTTCCTACATATCTGCACCGCCACTTAGGAGACACAGCGGGAAAAGATCCATTAAAATAGAAAAAACAAAGAAGAGCAAAAAGGCGCTGCCAGTGGCTCAGTGGTTAGAGCGGCGGCTGGGCACTGAGGGTCGTGAGCTCCACTCTCAGTCAAGGGCCGTGCCTGGATGGCGGGTTTGATCCACCCCTGGGTGGGGTGCACGGAGGAGGCAACCAGACAATGTGTCCCTCTCACCCGGATATTTCTTTCTTCCCCTAACCCCGCCCCTTCCACTTTCTCCAAGAAGCAATGGGGAAAACGTCCTCAGTTGAGGATTAACCACAACAAAAGCAATAAAAAGCAAAAAAGGTAAAAACAAACAAGTCACAGAACCTATGCTAGAAACAATCTACTCCACCTACTGAACTGCCAGTGGCAACAGTGATTCCACATATAATGTAGCTTCCATTAAACCTCACTGAGACTGCGGAGAAGTCAAACAATCTAAGATTCATTTGGAGAAACATGTATTAAAATCAAACAAGAAATTTAAAATGCCATTTGAAAGCTGGAATCCACAATTTCTTGACTCAGTCAGGAATAACAATCACATTTAACAAATCACACAACAATAAACCCACACTACAAACCTCACTGAGATGTTGTGAGTTTAAATTCATCCAAGACATAATGAAGCCACAAGGTATAAAGATAAAATCCTGACATTAAGATCCTTATATATAGCTTCCTAAATTGTTGTGTCTGTTTTGCTTAATCATAGGCACATACTGAGTACGTGGGATTTCTAAAAGGGTATTTGAAATAAGCATTATCAACCTTACATGAATCAGATTTCTTATTCTTCCCAATTAATGTTAATATTTCAAATATAGGATTTCCAAGATATAGACTGAACCACGAGACTGCTTCTAAGAAGCTAGCCTAGCCCGGCCGGTGTGACTCAGAGGCTGAGTGTCGACCTATGAACCAGGAAGAGGTCATGGTTCCATTCCTGGTGGGGGCATGTGCCCAGTTTGCAGGCCCGACCCCTGTGCGGAGTGAGCAGGAGGCAGCTGATCAATGACTCTCTCATCATTGATATTTCTATCTCGTTCTCCCTTTCTCTCTGAAATCAATAAAAATAAATAAATAAGTAAATAAATAAATAAAGCTAGCCTAAAGAACAAAAGTCTCATTTCCCAGAGGAATATCCCTACTTGGCAACATATTTTAAAATGTAGAAATTTTTTCATGAATAGTAATAAGACACAGAAAATAAAGAAACAAAGATTCTAACACAGAAGTCCATTTTTTAAAAAAGGAACATCTAGCCGAAACCAGTTTGGCTCAGTGGACAGCATAGGCCTCCGGACTAAAAGGTCCTGGGTTCGATTCCGGTCAAGGGCATGTACCTTGGTTGCAGGCACATCCCCAAAGGGAGATGTACAGGAGGCAGCTGATCGATGCTTCTCTCTCATCGATGTTTCTGGCTCTCTATCCCTCTTCCTCTCTGTAAATATATTTTTAAAAATATATAATAATAAAATATATATATATTTTTTTAAAAGGAACACCTAAATAATGGTTCTTTATTATTTTATTTACCAGCATAATAAAAATTTTTGAGAATGCTCACTAATTGAAAAACAATTAGAGCAGAAATCGGTTTGGCTCAATGGATAGAGCGTCGGCTTGGGGACTAGAAGGTCCTGGGTTCGATTCTGGTCAAGGGCATGTGGCTTGGTTGTGGGCATATCCCCAGTGGGGGGTGTGCAAGAGGCAGCTGATCGATGACTCTCATCAATGATTCTAGCTCTCTCTCTCCCTTCCTCTCTGTACAAAATCAATAAAACATATTTTTTTTAAAAAACAATTATATAATCTCTGAGATTATATAAATCAATTGAAAAAAACAAGAAAAATTTAAAATATTTCAATTTAAATACAAATTCTAAAAAAATAAAATTAAAAATTTTTAAATATCAAATTTTAAATATTTGTATAAAATATACAAAACACATTTATAAAGGAAATATTCTGAACATTTATTCTATCTAATAAAAGTGTAATATGCAAATTGACTATCACTCCAACACACAAATAGCTCACCCCATGTGGCCAGCAGTGGAGGACAGTTGGGAGGGATCAGGCCTGCAGGAGAGGGCAGTTGGGGGGGATAAGCCTGAAGGGGAGAGCCGTTAGGGGTGACCAGGCTGTCAGAGGAGGGAAGTTGGGGGCTGCAGGGAAGGGCAGTTGCAGGGAACCAAGGCCTGCAGGGGAGAGCAGTTGGGGGAGACCAGGCCTGCAGGAGAGGTCAGTTGGGGGACCAGATCTGCAGGGAAGGGCAGTTGGGTGGAACCAATGCCTGCAGGGGAGAGCAGTTAGGTATGATCAAGTCTGGAGGGGAGGGCAGTTAGGGGCAATCAGGCTGGCAGGAGAGTGGTTAGGGCAGTGGTCGGCAAACTGTGGTTTGCGAGCCATATTCAGCTCTTTGGTTCCTTGAGTGGCTTGGCATTAGAACCACTTCCTCAAAATAGGCTCGCCCAGGCCAAAAACCTACCTCTGCGCATGGGCCACGAAATTTCGATTGCACTGAATGTGCGCAACTGCACGTGGTACGGTATTTTGTGGAAGAGCCACACTCAAGGGGCCAAAGAGCTGCAATTTGCTGACCACTGGGTTAAGGAGTGATCAGACTGGCAGGCAGAAGTGGTTAGGAGCAATCAGGAAGGCAGGCAGGTGAGCAGTTGGAGGCCAGCAGTCCTGGATTGTGAGAGGGATGTCTGACTGCCCGTTTAGACCCAATCCTACGGGGATCAGCCTAAACAGGCAGTAGACATCCCTCAAGGGGTCCCAGATTGGAGAGAGCGCAGGCTGGGCTGAGAGACACCCCCTCACGAGTTTCATGCACTGGGCCTCTAGTAAATTATAAAATTTATTAGGGCAGTTTTACTATTCTGTTTCTTTCTTTGTATCTTAAAGTAGATAAAAGGGGATACAAAAAAAATTATACTATGTGGGTCTTAAGAATAAACAACAGTGAAAATTACTTCTCTGGCCATTAAAAGCTTAGAGGGTCATTTTAATAAAGCCTACATCAGAATTAATATTCATTTAACATCCCAAACAGGACTTCTTTATTATTTCACCAGTAGCTTGTCATTCAAAACACACACACACACACACACACACACACACAACAACAAAACACAACAACAAAAAAAAAACAGCCAACTGAACTTACAAGACAGACCAGATCAGTGTTACTTCTGATGAAATACCCATGTAATCTATATATTTAAGTTATCATAATCTGCTTTAGGAGTTAAAAGTCCTGTACCGGCCATTGTACCATATAGCAGGATCATGTTCCCGGGAAAAGACCAGCGGGAGAACCTTCAGTGCTCCCAGCTACGGTGCAGAGGAAGGGGGTTTCCACATTCCCTAGAGCAGCAGACGCCACCGGTGGTCTGCAGACCACTGCTGATTCGTGAGATCCAAAAGCAATGCTGCCTAAAGACAAGACTTGGGAAGAGGCAGCCAGCATTGGAGAGCCTGCTATGAATCAGGAAGAATTGAATTTGGAGGTACACTATTTTACTGATTTACTAAGCCTGGTGCGTGAAATTTGTGCAGAGTAGTCTCTAGGCCTGGCCGTGATCCGGGCCTATCTGTGGGCGACTGGCAGGGTGATCAGGGGGCCCTGCTGGCACCCACCTTGGCTGGTTGAGGCCTGCACTGCAGGCTCGGGGAAGCCCCTGTGTTGAGTGTCTGCCCCCTGGTGGTCAGTGGGCATCAGAGTGACAGGTAATTTCACCAGTCCTCGGGCTGTTGGGCCAATTTGCACATTAGCTTTTATTATACAGGATCTTAACAACAAACATAGATGCTGTTACACTTGTTTTGAGATGATACTCAAAAGGGTTACATCTGTTAAAAATGATGCCCAGAGAGTGGTCTCAACTAAAATTTGTTGAAAGCTCACTCATAATCCCTAGTAGCACATGCATGTGTTTTTCACATTGCAGGTAGAAAATATATTAGATTAGCCCTAGCTGGTTTGGCCCAGTGGATAGAGCATCAGCCTGTGGGTTGAAAGGTCCCGGGTTCAATTCCATCCAAGGGCGCATGCCCAGGTTGTGAGCTTGATCCCCAGTAGGAGGTGTGCAGAAGGCAGCCGATCATTGATTCTTTCTCATCACTGATGTTTCTATTTCTCTCTCCCTGCCTCTATGAAATCAACAAATATATATATATATATATATATATATATATATATATATATATATATATATAGTTAAAAGAGAATATTAGATTATAAAGATGACCACACAGTAGGGACATACAGTCCCTACACCCAGCAAAGGTGGCGCGTGCGGTGACACCCCACCTGCAGGTGTGGCATGCATGCGCACGCACCGCGTCTCGGTAAGATCGATTCTTACTGTGGGTCCTGGTAAAAACGTACAAAGACTATTTATTCAGAAGAATTATTTTGCTTTAGAAATGACCATAAACCGCTGGCCACCTTTCAATAATGTGGGAGTCCTGAACCTCGAACGCGATGCTTATGGACAAGCTGCGGGGAAAGCAACACTGCCACATCCAAAAAAACCTCCATGTTCTTCACCGACCTTCACACTACATGGAGTTACAAACTAGAAACTGGCGTAAAGGTAATTTAGACTCCAGCCTTTTCTGACCAGAATCTGATCTCAGTCAACAAACTTTACGGAAAATAAACCACAAAAAAACCCATAAGCATTATATGTAAAGCTTGAAAACTATAAAACTTAATATAATTCCAACAAACCCTACTAATGAAAAACACAAAAACAAAAAGACCCGGACAATGTG